CATGATTAGCGGCCGCCACTTGTCAGGGTCGACGCGATTCGGATGCCCTTGCATTCGTAAGCTCTGCAAGACGTGGACGCGGACCACCCGAACTTCAATCGCCAGCATGAGGCCGGCACGATCGGGCAAGTCTTTCCGGAGCCCGTTGACCTGGACCACCTGGCACTCCATCTGGACGGGGCACTCGGCAATGCGCAGCGGGGCGACGAAACTTGAGGGTTGCGGTTGTAAGCCAGCTCTTGTCCACTTGTCCTTGACGAACTTGTAGTCTCGCGAGGTCTTGGACTCGGAGACGGGATTGGAGCCAGTTGTGTAGGCGAGTTTGTTGACGTATTCGGCCATAGAGTCGCTGGCTAGATTCAAGACGCATTCGTTTGTTCGGAGGATGTTTTCAGTCGTTTTGGATGATGCGTCGAGCCCGAGCATGCACGAGTGACCGAGCCACCACGCAGAAGACATAGGCGAAATGTTACTTGTCCCGTCTTCATTCTCGGATGTAATCAAAACCACTGGCGTGCCCCAGTAGAGAATGGCAGGAGAGATAACGGTATGTTCGGTTGACGACATTGTGCCAAGGTTGACCAGCCTCTGCACTCTATAAAAGTATGAAATCTAAACTTGCAAACAAAAGATGAAATGCTAGTGTACGTGGGAAACTGTGTAATGCACTATTGCCGAGAAAGGTCTACAATGGCCAGAGTGGAATATTAAATACCAGAAGATCCGATCTCTCAATCAAATTACGAACTCGACATTTGCCGCGGAGTTGTTCATTTTCTCATTCCAGCGCCGAGTCATAAATCATTAATAAACAATGACTTCCTCATTTCCTGATTGATTGGTTGGAAAGAACAATTGTATCTGGAGTATCTCCGCTGGTCCCGTTGATTTATTATGGTATCATTGCTATGAAAACCAGTCAAATTGGATGCTTGATTGGCCATTTTGAGAACAATGCTGACGATGACTTTGTTGCAAGGTCAAGTTTCATGTTTGATAGGCCATTTTGAGGGCCATGCTGACGTCGACCCCACTGAAAAGGCCTGCCCCAATTCAAATCCTCTCTCCAGTCGTGACTCCAGCCGTTTCCTGATCACTCTCCATCCTGTCGGCTAACTGTTGCATCTCCGAAAAATCAATTGGAAAAGTCAAGATATGCCTTTTTCTAACACAAAACTTAGACTAGCAGTAGCGACTGTTAGCTCCCACACTATTGATGCGTTTTAGCGGTTGTGTCGGCTACAGGCTTCTCTTATGGGCAGTAGGGCTTGTCACGGTACCACAAAGGAATCCCCAGCAAGACTCTTCCCTTCACTACGGCGCCATAGTACCAAGGTTGGTTCACCCATCTAACACGACTCATTTAGATACTCAGGTAGGCAGCGAGCAACTAGATACAATAGAAGGTGCAGCAGCAGGCGTCAGAAAATCAGCCTTGAATCTTCAAGCACAATCATCCTACCATGATAGCGAGTTATGGTCTAGCCTTCCTAAATAACCATGCAATGTAAGGTTGAGCATCGTTCCTTTGGATGTCTTCGCTATTTACTGATAATTAATTTGTCAGGATGTCTCTGCATTTGAGTCCTTGGAATTTTCGGATACTGTGGCTCTTTGCAAGAGAACACATGATGACATAGCCCAATGTTGTATCCGACAGCAGCTCGTAAGTATTTGGGGGGAGGGAAACTCTGACTACATGGATTATGTTACAGATTTACGACAACCATAATAAGTCCGGCCCTACATGGATCAATGCCGGAGAAGCATTCGACGATTATTTCGCCAACATGCTCAAAACATTCCACAAAATTCTATCAAGTCTTTACATTATTATATATTTCATGGCTTGGTAATGGTTGTCGCACAGCTAATTTCTTCTAACTATAGGAGTTTCCAGGTAGCAAGAAACTAGATACTAAGTATAGAATCCAGGTGAATATGATGGAGACTATGCTCTGCAGAGCATCTGTCAGTCACCATGGCAGCTTGCAGAATATCGGTTTATAGAGTGCCAGCAGTGCAGGGTTGAACGTTTTAACAACGTTGATTAGTGATAAGACAGGACCTTCGGTTTCATTAAGAAATCAATGTTTAAAGGAAAATTTCAAGTCCTTGGATCTACAGATTCGCCCTTGGCCTAGACTCCGGGCTGCTACGAGATTAGAGTCCAACTTTTGTGCGCCAAGGCCCCTTTTCAAACAAAACTATCGGAAATATCTGGAAAAAGCACTTGGTAAGAACCAGGAGAAGACGGTAGACGACTGTATTACGCGACAAAAGCTTGGAGTTAATGCAAAACCACCTCCTGCATCCCCATATATATATTATGGCACTCTCTTGGCTGAAATTGGGTTTGTGCTTGACTATGTAGCGGCAACGGCGGATGGTCCTTCTGTTTCGGTCCCGGAAGAGATCCTGTAGAGCATTTACAGCTGTAGTTTCAATCTATCGAACGTTCTCGTCTGATTATCACTTTAAACCTTCCTCCCTACTTAAACCCTCCAACCTAGACTTGAATATATAATTTGACTCTGCATTAGGTGGAGCCCACTGTACAATAGTCAATGCCTCTTAACTCAAAGTCATTTTGATGTGTGGTCCTCGCGCTGTATATATGACCACAAATCATTTACTGATCTACAACGGTTCACTCTAGAGCTTCTAGGCATGCGGCTTTCCTCATAGGCTAAGGGCTCATTGTACGAACCGTTTCATTAGAAAAGCCTGGTCGGCCAATAATCTCAAAAGATCCAGACAATTCGACCAGACTATGGCTATGCCGAAAAGGCTTTAGAAAAATGGATGTCACATGGATTAGATCCAATCTCTGCCCTTGTAACAATGGAAGACATTGAAAGGTTAGAATGGACGGCTTGTTTTATCTCACACGGTCTGTTAATGTTTCTCAACGCTCTCCCAAGGCATCCACATGAAAATATATTCCCCCAAGCGCCTTCTCCAGCGAAGAAAGACAAGAGGAGTTTATCTAAGCACGAACCTCATGACCCGGCTGTATATCGCGATGTCGCGGCTTTCGTTATCGAAAATAGTTAACTCAGCGAAGCATCACCTCATGATTATGCAGGACCTACCGATAATGATACCAAAACCTTCAGTATCGTTGGATCCGCTTCTAAGCATGTATCCGATCATGATTTAGTGAATAGTAACGAGGATCTTGATACCCTCAACATCGGTCCATCACCCATCAATTATATATAGGATCAACGAGTTTGCCGAAGACGTTGGGGCTCTCTACAGAGAAAGGAGACGTGGGAATATTAGATATCCAAAAATTCGTGTACGAATGCTCCAACCTCCACCCCGCATCGCATAGTGGAGGCTTAAACAGAGATCATCGCCACGAAGCCAACGTTTCCGATCCAATATATGGTAACCAAAACGCCATAACAGAAGCAAATCAAGACATTGAATCAGAACTCACTTACGAAAGCATGGTTCCACCTCATCCATTGTGGCCAGCAGTCAACGATCAATATTGCATCCAAGCCTGTGTTGGGGATGGATTAGATACAGAAACTGCAGAACAGATTATTGCATCAGGTGTTATCACTCAACCTGGAAGAGTATACAGGAAACCTTCCGCAACTGGATTCAAACCCAAAAATGGTTATCAATTGACGGCATCGACACATCATCTGTGGAACAACTATATAGTATACAATACTCTAATGTCTGCTACATTTGAAGAAGAACCAAACTACATCGGTATTTGTAGGCTAGCTCTAATAGTTGTTTACTGACTTTTACGTTACGAAGTATGCTAAAGTCACTAGAACTCTTCCTCCAATTTGGTTATACCTGGTTCAACTCCCTTGCCTGTTGCTTGCGTTTCTTGCAGATCCCGTGTCTTAGATGCCCTAGAACGCAATTATAAGCTTCCAAAACCTAATGTCTACGGCTTGCGGTTCTGCAATATGTTCTGCTCCTGGAAGTACAACACCAAGCCTACATACGTAAACCTTCCTTATACCGGGTGCACTCGTCGCAAATCAACTTGGGATTCGAAATACTAACAAAGTGACTTTGCTCCCCGTCGTAAAAAAGCAACAATATTAAAGATCTACCTGGCAACGTAGGGTTAATTTATTACGGCTTTTGTCGCAACGGCTAAGTATACGTGAACACAGACTTAAAATAGGTAATTAAGCACAGCAAAAAGTACTGCATTCCTAAAGAGCCAAGTTGTAGATATCAGTAAAAAGCATGAAGCCCTAAGAATGCTTCTATAACCCATGTGCACTCTGCCACGGCTGGAGATGTTCTTAAAAGAGTAAGTGAACGGGAAATGGATGTGCAAGATCCACTAAATCGCCAGAGCAATACCTATAGCGAATTTGAACAGCAATGGCACGCCGTGGTGCACTTATCAAACACTACTGGATCGATCACTGGCATTACGGCGAAAACGCTCGTCAGGTACTTGGGTTTAATAGCGGATCTGCAAGGGCAGATGGAAGTTGTCATTGATGGATGATAGTAAAGGCGGAATCCACTTAGTAGCTAGCGTACAGGGATGTGTATCCGGGCAACTGTGGTCGCTTGTAAGCCCAATCAATGTGTGGGTAGATAGAGAGATACATATATACCGACAGTCTCCTATCCTATTCAATATAGGGTACTAACACATAAAGAAATGCAGGTAGCCAGGGACGAAGTGCTCCATAAAATACTTATTGTGTAGCGTAGTAATCGTCATAAGATCTTGTTTCCATCCAATATATAATATAGATATAGATATAGATATATATATATATATCTCTATATATTGTGACCAAAAGGGAAAAGAGTGAAGCTGGCCGGATTTGAACGGACAACCTTCAGGACTGGAATCCGACACGCTAGCCGCTGCGCGGGCAGTCGTAGGTTAATAGGTACATAGAGCGTTGATTGGGCGGTAGAAAGCAATAGAACAAAAAAGAGAATCGATTCTATAACAGGAAAAAATTTAATATTGCTGTCCTCTGCGGGGAAATTGAACCCAACCCGATTTGAACGGATGACCTTCTGGAGGCAGTTAATATTTACTTCACTGGAGTAGAATTACTCGAGTATTGGTAAAGTTCTAAGCTGGAATCAGATGCTCTACCGCTGAGCTATGGGTCCAGTGTTGACAGCCTAATTCTTAATGGCATTCTAACTCATTGCCCCATGCAGATTGGTGGAGGAAGAAAACTTAGCTCAGTGAGGAAATACTGAGCATTAGACTTGTTTGGGCTTTCCTCGGAAAAGGCGGTTAGAAGCGGCAGAGCCCGTTAGACCCTAGTACCGCTAGAATAAGCCAGCAGAGTACTCCGTGCCGAGTGTCAATATTGTTGCTAGATTCCTTGAAAGCTACATGAAACCATAATTAGAGACAACACTTTTTCTCTGCGCGACGTCCGGTTTAGACTAGGGACCGGGGATTATTATAGATGTTGGTTGCTTCCTGGACTATCTGGAAATAGAACGTGGACGTCAGCTTCTATAAGTCGACCGTCGTTGCACTAATTACTATTCTGCCTCTATTTCATGTGCACTGTCAGACTTGCTGAGAAGACTGACAATATGGCACTTATTTCCCCGTCGCCCATTGCTCTTTAGATGTGGAACCTATACTATTAATTGTGTGTGTGCAACCTCCGCTCTACAATACCGCGCGTATGTGAATGCCCCCATATACCGCCATATCATTATTAACTAATCCATAGGATTCGGTTGGAATAGGGCGACTCTCATCTCCATATCCCTGGCCTCCCAACGTAGGGTCCCATGCCTATAGGACCCCAACTCGCTACGTTATCGTCCTGCTTGACTGAGGTTGAGTCATTGTTCTCGGTTGAAATCAGCAATTCGCCTCGAGCGGTTAATATCATGCACCTCCGTGCGTCTCGCCTAAGCCATGCACGTCTACACCATGCCTGGGCCTATCCATGAACGGAACAAGAGCCGGATAAGGGGTTGTGGGGTAAATGCAACAATTGCCGGAACCCCAATGGTCTTAATATGTCACTATAAAGAGTCAATATCTCCTTGAGATAGTTTTGCTGCAACGGGTCTGTCTTTTGCCTGAAAAGGCAATTTTTTCCAAGTGCGAACGTATCATGAGCTACTGCCTGGCGATTTTTAAGATTAGTGACTCCGTGTATTTAGACTGGGGACGTCCGGGCTACCGACAGCACAAACTACCTTAAATCGCCCCCCTTAGGCTCAGAGAAATTAGTCAGATCATAAGAAATCCAGTATGATGAACAGCACTGGTGGAGGCCCCTCTCAACCGGGCCAACATCTTGTTCATAGGTGTGTCTAGCCCTACATTGCGACTGTATTGAGGTCGCGTCGACTTACGACTTTCCAATAGCCATGCACACGAAGGCGATATCCCGGGCACGGTCCACGTCAAGGCTACGGGTCAGCGAGCTTGAAGAACAATGCATCCTTTTACAGCTTGCTAACATATGGAACAGATGGAGATGATACTGGCTATGGCCAAGCACTTTTCCCCGTACCCGCTGAGGACCCAAATGACCCCCTTCAGTGGTCTAAATTTAAGAAAACTATGATTCTCGTTATTATTTGCATCTACTCCTTCCTGGGGAACTCGGCACTGTTGGGTGTTGGCCCATATATCTCACTATGGTCAGAGGTGTTTGGGGTCTCGCAGGCGGAAGCATCTACTTTGATCTCTTATCCAAATTTAGCATATGGGCTCACATCATGGTTATTGGTACCACTATACCTGAGATTTGGGAGAAGACCGGTCATGCTAGGATCCATGTTGGCCGTAAGCAATGGCATCCCCTACCTATAGAGCATGGAAACTTAGCAATCTACACAGTTCATCGCAGGTCTCGCCGCCAGTTCGCGAGCGACCAGCTTTGGAGGTCTCATGGCTGCCCGGGTTGTCCATTGCTTAGGTGCCGGCGTATGCGAAGCTCTACCGGTTCAACTTGTCAATGACATATTCTTCCTACACGAACGTGGGATACAGCTTGGATACTACACATGTAATTTGGACAATCCTTGGCCCAGAGAAAGTTTTCAGCTGACAGACGTTTCAATAGTTGCGTTATGCCTTGCGGCCCTCGCCACACTTCCGGCAGCATATATGCTGCCCACTAAATACTCTTGGAGACTTTTCTTCTTCGTCATACTGGCCTTTGCCGCTGCGCTCTTCATCTTAGCCTTCTTTTTCGTCGAGGAAACCTCATACCAACGAAGCAAAACTATTGAAACCACCATACATGAGGACGGGGACACAACAAATGCAAGTGCAGGCCAGGAAAAGCCCGAATCTTTTGCTGTTGAGCAGGCAACTGGCATACCCCCTCGCAAATCATTCCTTTCCACTCTCCAGCCCTGGGGGCGTAGTGACCCGACAGTACCTTTTTTTACTTTATTGTGGAGATCTATGACCTATTTCCTCGTGCCCCAGGTACTCTGGGTCATTACCTCATTCGGTATAATCATCGGGCTGGGTGGTCTGTCCTTCAACTTCGTTTTTCCGATTAAAATCACTTCATCCCCATACAATTGGCCTGTGGTAGGTTTGCATGGTGGTGGCGGGGCTCATGTTCGAGGCAGTTGCTGATTCATGCTACAGTCAAGTTCCGGAATCCATGCTGTCGGTTCGGTGTTGGGGTTTCTCCTTGCTGTTCCCTTCGCACCAACGTCGGACATGTTAGCAGCGTACCTCACACGGCGAAATAATGGTATCCGAGAGGCCGAAATGCGACTGGGCGTCATGCTCCCGGCCATGATTGTCGGTCCTGTTGGGCTAGTTGTCTATGGCTTGACGGCTCAGCTGAACCTGCATTGGATAGGCTTCTTCTTTGGTGCTGGCATGGCGTCGTGGTGTGGCTACTTTTTCTATAGTTTCACATTGGCGTATGCAGTAGACTCCTACAACACCGACACGTCAGAAATGCTCATGGCCATGAATGTGGGCAAGCAGCTCGTTAGCTTTGGTCTGGGTTTCAAGGTACTGGACTGGATCATGCAGAGCAGTTATGCGGCTGTAATATCTGCTGGCTTTGGCGGAATCCTACTCGCCAATAACCTCTTCCTCATTGTCTTCATGATTTGGGGGAAGAACATTCGCCGCTTTATGGCAACGTCTTGGCTGGCTAGGCTTCACGGTCGAGAATCTCATCATGGATAATGTCGATATATCAACGGGCGAGGCTGGTAAATCCATCGTTGACGGGAATTCGTTCGTGGTTTCTCACAAGCCTCGCATACCTCATAATATACACGATGCTCCTTGGATCCCTCACCTGCTCTTAGGCCAGCCGGTTGCTGAGACGTGAGCTGGAATGCGTGAAAAGATAGCCTGGCCTGCCTAATTCTTAAAGTCGAGGTTTCGAGGGGTGCTGGAGAGCCCAATTCAGGTTATGCACTATGTGATGTCTGCTGGTGTTAAGTATCAGCAAGGGGAGCAGGGTCCCTTTTTTTTTAACCACTGCTATTTTTGTTGTTATTTGGTTGGTACCTTGTGGACGACATGCACGGCTAGAATGCACAATGCATGTCTGTAAGCAAGAGTCTAGATATGCATCCCAGACGTAGTTTTCATCGCGAAGTGATACCATGCATCAGGTAGCCTTTCAAAGAAACCTCGCAGTTGACAAGGGCGTCAAGATGACCTCAAAGACACATTGTACAAACGCAAGTACTTGTGCTACAAGCGAAGCTGTTAGTTAGTTGCAAGGCAACTAATATGCACCAGCGTGGACTCATAAACGCCGCATCAACAGCCTTTGTCGCGTTGCCGCCGCAACAGCTCAGCGTGGAATAAGTACAGTCACGTTGCCGGGCAATAGGTACAGAACATTACTGGCCTTGCCTTCTCATTACCGCTAACTACTCGCTTTATGTCCAAAGTCTGCCTCGAGGACCATGTTCTCAACCTGATGCTCCGCAAGCTGGTCTCAGGTCATACATAACCAGCAGGTAGTTGCATGCACAGTCTCCGATTCACTGCAACGATGGAATCAAGCGGCCGTGGCAGCGCTGTGAACGACACTGTCGACCGCAAAGGAAAGAGTGGTAGGACTCCCCTCAAACAGCCCGCCACGTCACGACCCGTTGCACCACCGGTCACAACGCCGCGACGAAGGAGGAAGCGCATCGGAGGAAAGCGAACAGTCAGAAGCTGCACATCATGCCGAGCAGCACACGTACGATGCGTGGCCGACAAGTATGGCGTTCCCTGTGAGAGGTGTGCGAAGAAGTCTTGGTCAGATGTAAGTGCACCTCCCAGCAACACAGACCATGAGCTCGGTGCATGAAAATCCGAAGGAGAAGGTAAACACTGACAGGTGATTACAGTGTACCCTCATGCACAAGCAACCAGAACAAGCCCCCCCTCAGAGCGAACCTACCGATCAATCCGAAGCCTCAGGCTCTAACTTACTGGAACCTGATGTTTTAAAGCAAATCGCTTTGGACGCGCTGGCCTTGATGACCAAAAAGGCGAAGACTGTATCTGTATCGCCTTGAGCAACTATCGGTTGGATCTATAGGCCAACAAGTCTTTGATCTTTCAGGTGACGAGGTTCGAATGCATACATGAACGTGCACAGGACATATCAGCACACTTGTAAGTGTCGTGACTCTGGACGAACAACAAACAATACCGCAGGGAGTGATATCCTCTAATACAAGAGCAGTTTTGGCCTGCAAATCCTGCGACGAACGCAGTCAAAGCAACAAATGGATGAAAAGAGGGATAGAAGAGAAACGTTAGGGGGGTGTTACTCATCCAGCGGCCGGCAGCTAAGACACCTGGGCTCCCTTTCTTCACGGAGGTTGTGATCACGATCATGTTGGCCTACCATCTTGTATTGGGCGGTTGGGTTCTTTGGAACATGTCTGAAGGATGAAGAAGGTCATACACCATGATTTCTCGGTTATGTGATGACGGGATACGGCGTCATGGATGTGGAAGAGGAAGGATTACAAATACTGCCGACGCGTAATATGATTTGAAGTCGAATCAATAATTCAACCACACCTGAGTTCAAGCTAGCCCGAGGCAAAACGCTTGCGGGTTTCCGCCCAGAATACGGCGAGACCCAGTCCCATGTCGTAACTACCCATACAATGGCGTAGGCAATGAAGGAATG